GCTAGAGGAATGGAGTTCTTGAAGTGGTAAGTGCTTGTTTGTCAGAAAGAATGCAAAATTGATCTTAATGATCTTCAGATGTTTGTGTCCACATTTGAGTTTTATGACAAACCTAAATGAACAAGAAAAAGCAAGTTTCAGTAAGTACAGTACGTTCAGTAATTCAACTACCTGAGAGTAGTTTCACTAATGCTGTTAACATTAAGTAATTGTCACGACCCCAATTCCCCACGGAGGATGTCGTGATGGCACCTAGTCTCCAAGATTAGGTAAGCCTAATATACACGGAGAAATAGCGGAAATAATAATAGAACTTCAAATTTAAACCATCTAGCTATCATAAAAGAACTCTACAATACCGCTGACAATAACTCCCAAAATCTGGTGAGACTGAGTCATAAGCTCTACACGAATATACGGTAACATCCATAATACATCACTGTCTAAGTAAAGAGTAAGCAGTAGAAAAACAAGGACAGATGGTGACTCCGAGGCCTGCGAAAGCTAGGCAGGTATACCTTGAAGTCTCCAAACTGAATGCTTTACTCACTGGTGCCTAGCCTGGGTTGAGGTACCTGGATCTGCACAAAAATGTGCAGAAGAGTAGTATGAGTACACCATAACGGTACCCGTAAGTATCAAGCCCAACCTCAGTAGAGTAGTGACGAGGCCAAGTCAAGACACCTACTAGGATAAGAAAAGAAGCTGAACAAATATAGTACAGTCTAATAATGGAAACGAGGAAAATGAAGCAATAAAGCAATACAACAAGATAAGCTACAACTGAATTTAAAGCAATAAAGGCAACAAGGAAGGAACACATAATAAGAACATCAAAAAAACAATGCGGGCAAATACAAGTGAAGTAAATGAGAGATAACAACAAGAATTACACTCGAGGTACGCCTCGTAATCTCATTTCACAATCACTATCACAATCTTTCCTTATATCGCCGCGCGCGAGCCTTACATTTAGATAGTTTGAAAACATTTGTTTTCCCCGAAATAGCTACACGCACTTTGGACCACCTTATGTCGCCGCGTGGCTTCATGTAATTCCCTTACTAGCAACACGCACATAAATCACACCTTATGCCGCCCCATTCACATTAACCCCTATCCTTATACTGCCGCATGTGCATCAATATCACAACATAATCACAACTCGCACCACAAGTGCCCTATGCCACAACTTGCCAAAAGAATCAACATTACCAATGTTTCCACAACAAGTAGCCCATGACTCAACCACAATGTTTACAAGAGTCTCAACAATAACAAAATAATGGTGAATAGCTCAACAAGAACGATATCTCAACAATTAACAACTTCGTCTCAAAGTGATAACGGCTTTTACAACTTCAACACCAATAGCTAAACAAGAGATATTCCATGAATTAACAACTTCAAGTAAGTAATTCCACAATTAAAGAAGTAACAAGACAATAAGACAATAATTTCAATTAAAGCATATAAAAGCAAAAAAACAAGAGGTGGAACAACTGTTAAAAATGTCAAATAAAGCATATGAGTGTAGATTAACAATGAAAGATATAACATACTATGACAATTGGATTAAAGGCATGAAAAGATAATAAAGTTGCAATCTTTAAAGAAAATCAAAAAGTCAACTCAAAACGTCAACCCGGGCCCGCGTCTCGGAACTTGACCAAACTTACAAAATCCGAACACCCATTCAATAACGAGTCCAACCATACTAAAAATATCCAATTCCGACCTCAAATCGACCTCCAAATCCTCAATTTATAGATTAGGAAGTTTTCACAAAATTCTCCAATTTTTGAAACTCAAAACTCTAATTAAATGATAAAAACAATGATGGATTCATGAATAATAATCAAATCCGAGTCAAAACACTTACCTCAATCAACTCCTTGAAAATCCCTTCCAAAATCGCCCAAAACCGAGCTCTCTAACTCAAAAGATGAAAAATGGAACAAAACCCTCAATCCAGCCCTTTTCTGCCCAGTTATTCCGCTTCTGCAGACCAATAGCCGCTTCTGCAGCTCGCACCTGCAGAAAATCCATCGCAGGTGCGTCTTTTCATTAAGCCAGGAAGATCACTTCTGCGGACCATTGTGCGCATTTGCTCTTGCGCTTCTGCAGAACCAAGCCGCTTCTGCGCGTCTGCTTTTGCGGAGAAACGACCGCACCTGCGGTCACAACTCGCCCAGCCCCCAAATCTCGCTTTTGCGGCTCACTTGGCGCTTCTGCGGCGCCGCAGATGCGGCCCAAAGTGCGCAGGTGCGATTGCACCAGAACCTCAGCACATAAGTTCTTCTAAATCCAAAATGATTCCGGATTCAATCCGAATCACACCCCGGGCCCCGAGACCCCGTCCAAATATGCCATCAAGTCCCAAATCACATAGTGGACCTACTCGAGGCCTAAAATCACATTCAACAACACCAAATCTACGAATCGCCACCCAATTCAAACCTATTGCATCCATGAACATTCGACTTTCAAAACTAACGTCGATTCATACCAAACCAACTCAGATTGACCTCAATCTTCACCTTATAAAAAAAAAAAGACCTCTAGTTTTGCCCACAAGTTATAAATGACACAATGGACCTATTCCAACTCTCGGAACCAAAATCCAGACCGATATCAACAAAGTCAACACTCGGTCAAACTTCTCAACCTTCAACTTTCCAACTTTCGCCAATTCAAGCCAAAACAACAGACGGACCTCCAAATCAATATCCGAACACACTTCTAAGTCCAAAATCACCATACGGAGCTATCAAAATCATCAAAACTCCATTGGAGTCGTCTACACAAAAGTTAAACTCCGGTCAACACTTGCAACTTAAGCTTCCAACCTTGGGACTAAGTGTCCTAATTCACTTCGAAACTTACCCGAAACAAACCAACTACCCCGGCAAGTCACATAACCACAATTTAACATAGAGGGGACAATAAATAGAGGAACGGGGCTAAAATACTCAAAACGACCGGCCGTGTCGTTACATTAATATTATGCCTAGGTTAGTATGGAGTTAAAAAGGTTTTCTGAAACCAGCTATTGATGCTGGTCAAAGCTTGCTTCTTTGAATTTCTTGGTCACAGGCTTCTCTGTTGCTTCCTTTTGCTTCTTGATTTCATAGTTGGATAAGTAATATTGTTTCACATAATCTATAAATACTGCTTCTATTGAAGCGGGGAGCGTTTCATTTTGTTAAATAATTTCTCTTGAATAAGATTACAGTAATCTTCAATGAAATAAGGCTTTCGGAAAAATTTACAAAGTTTTGCTGGTCAAAGGTTCCAGATGCAGATTCCACTGTCTTGTTGCCATCATATTTTTCCTCTTTCTACTTCATTGTGATACTGATACAGGTTGTGGACACGGAAGGAGAAGGAGATTGCAGTTGTTACACATAGTGGATTCTTGATACATACACTCAGTGCATTTGGTAATGATTGCCATCCAGATGTAAAGAATGAGATATGTAGACCGTAAGTTCTCAACTCATTGGTGAACTGATATGCTGGAAATTGGTTTGATCACATTCTAACTCCACTTGTTGAATTACCAATAAATAAGCCTTTACATGATAGACACCTGATCAAACTTTAAACTACAACTGTCTAAAGGTGACAAAAATAGGAAAATTGTCAAATACAGATAAGGACTAACTTGACTAAACTTTTAGATCTCTGGTCTGCCTTACGTGTCCAGATATAAAAGGGCAATCTTTCTACTAAATATGACATCTTCGTCTCACAAGGACATTTAATAAGTCTTGTGGTAGCTTATCAATGTCATCTACTGACTTTGCCGGTTTGTCTTAATATTCATGCTGCTCATTCATTTCCTGCCCGTGGCTTAATACTAATCAATATCATGCCTCCTGTCCACCTATCCCTCTCCTGCCACGTTCTTTGTTGGCTGTCTTGGGAGAAGTTGGCAGAAGACATGCATATATTCTTTGCTCGTTTATAATTTCCCTAAAATAGCTCAAGTGTCAACTGTTTTTTTCCCGCTTGGTAGAATAGCTGAAAGGTGTGTTTGTTTCCTTGAAGGTTTGTTGTTTCAGCTTGATAGGATAGCTAAAACTATGTCTGCAATTGGCCTCTCCATTTTGAGATACAGTACATTGTTTCAGCATTTTCATTGTGGAAACCTTTTGATCATTTGATGTTCTTGTATGTAATTTGCAGATTCAAGAACTGTGAACTTCGGTCCATGGTTATTATTGACAGAGGGTTTGTGTTTCTAAAACCTGTTGAACCAATCTATCTCCATTTTTTTATTGCTGACTGACTTTGCCACTCTGCAGCATGATTGGGTCAGATTCTTCAACAACTGATTATCCAGGAAAAATTCCAAGTGGAGTAGATATCCCAAGTGACGATACATGTATTAATCATCCAGATGGATTGTCAAACTGATCTAAAGCAGCGGCAATCAAAAGTGGTGGCGTTTGGTTAGCTTTTACTATTCTTTCAAGTAATGTATTGGATTATCTCATTTGGAGCTGGCACTTTTTGGCTAACTCAGAATTTATTATTCTTGAAGAAAGTCGACCGAGCCAAACTCAGTAGTCTGAAGGTATATAAGCAACAGCTTCAATACCTTACAAGTATCAGCAAGTATTTGTTGTAGTTGTCTAAATTACATCTCATACACGTATAATGTAAGTCATGTTCTGTTGAATTAAAAGTGTGCTTTTAGGTATCATGTTTTCAGTTACTGTATTGTGTTTGAATTTCTGGCGGGGGTTTTGCCTCCTCTAAGAGGAATCCATTTTGTGATTCATCTCTGCAGGCTGTATACTCTTTGCATTTTACCCCATCTGTAATTCAAAGGACAATAAGCAAAAGTAAAATAGCTATCCTATCACGACATTAAAAATAGCTGGTTTAGTTGAACTTTGGTCATTTGACAAGCTTGTGGTGGCTTTATCTTGCTTTTAATGTTAACTTTTTTTATCTTTGTTAAGCAATGAGAAAAGAAGAAAGTAAAACTAGACCTTGATTATTTTGTCAGCTATGTCATTATTTCAACCTAACATTAAGTCTAGCGTTGCACCATTCAGTCTTTTGGAACAAACGGTCTCTAAGAGAACATAATTTCATTACTCGTATTTTACAAATATTTTTACATATATACAAGCTTTTGTTCAACACTTACAATATACAAACTGCGAGTCTGTAACATACATAGACTCTAGATACACACACATAAATTATATGATAAGAGTGCATATCATTAATCTTTACAGAATAATCAACAGCACCCCCTAAACTAGCTTCTCAAGCATCTAATTAGCAGTTGGATTAGAAGCTTGCATAGCAATTCCACTAAGTCCTTCCTCAGCATCAACGTCTCTTTGCATTCTTATGTATCCATTCTGACCCAAACTTATTCCCCGTGAATTCTTTACTAACCAATATTTAGTACCATCACTAATTTTTCCGTAAACAACTGCAGTAACACCGTAATCCAACTCAGTTCCACATTCTCCGGTGCTTGAATAGAATTGGAAATCCGAGCCACTAGCATCAATGGCAACGGATATTGGTTGGTTGGCAACTGCTTTTAGCAAAGTGGATTCGCTATTGGCCGGAACATCCCGGCAAGTTAAGAATGACAGTGACAATGAAGATGCTCTGCTGCGCAAATGATATAATCCAAATGAAATTTTGTGATAAGTTTGTTTACCATAATCTTGGAACTTCAGGCACTAAGGAAGCTGCTTCATTGTCCTATGGCACAGTTTTGTAATTGATCATTGCGCTGTCCTATTTGCAGATTACTTCTATTTTGGCCTTTAATGTGATGGGAAAAGGGAAAAAAGAAGAGGCGATCACAACAATTTGCCCCGTAAGCTACAGAAAGAATTTTATATATACCTCACCTCACTCATCTCTATTCTATTATTTCAAGAAAATGAAAGGAAATATGGCAAAAACAACGGAGCCAAAAGCAGAGCGTTGATTATAGCCTGTGCTTGTATATTGTCACTGTACGAACCATGTACTCCACTAAAATGGTTTATTAGTTACACAGGCATGATACAGGTGCTCTAGTTTTAGGTGAAGTGTTGTAATAAGAGAATCAAAAATAAGAAGTCCGGAGCTTTTTTAAAGTCAATATTATCGTATAAGAGTATCAGCTCAACAGTTGGTCTTTTGAAATTGGTATCCTATCCATTTATGCTATCGTGTAACTTAATTTGCTGCATGTGGTGCTTAGTATAAGGTATTAAATCGATAGCAACATTAGAGACTAAGATACAAAATATAGATACAAACAAACACATAATCCCGAGGTTCCAGCTACTTAAAGCGAGAGTGCATCCAAAAATTCGAGAAGAGTGCTCGGCCTTCAGGGTTAAACAAATTAAAGGTCAATAGTTATTGCGTCTTGCTTATACACAAGATGAAAATATTAATCAGGCCTTTTATTTTATCCATCGATTGAGCGATGTCACTATCCTTGCTAGGCTATAACCAATTAACATAAGTAAAAATTACAACACTTGATCATAAATTATGTCCCATTTCCTTTTGCATAGACACTAGCTCAAAGTTTAAACACAACAAAAGATATGTTAATTGCTATAGACTGCAAAATGAGAAAGTCAGCGGTGACAAAACAAAACCAATACCTGCGATTTGCAGGGAAACTATATAATGCAATGTCAATATTAAGGAATAAAGGGGTTTTTTCATTCCTATACACTATTGGAAACTTTATTACTTTAAATGTCCATGTTTAGTTAATTACACGACATAAACAAGTTTTGTTTAGAAAATATATATAATCCACCTTAAAAGGCTCCCAATCCATTATTTGTGCCTTCAATCAAGGGATTTAGTTATACTCTTCTCATTTTTTCTCTACTCTCCATATCGAAACTTATATTTAGGAATTTCTGTTTGCTAATTGTTTCGGTCTTTTTTTTTTATCCTTAAAAAACTGTATTATAAAGTCTAACATAAAATATGAGAATAGATGGATCTTCAGGTGAAATTAAGTTTTGAGCTTTGAATATAATCTTTCCTTGGATCTCACGGAGCCTATTTTATAGGATACAATTCTACTCAACCACATGAATGTTGGAATCGACGACGAGTAGGTGCCTTTGCTTCTCCGCTTCTGCTGCTACTGTCTTCACCTAACATTGTTTGCAAAGAAGGAAGAAGAGTGTACTTAGTTTTAATAAGGATGAAGGATCTGGAAAGGAAATAACAGAAAAGAAATATAAATATATAGAGGGAAATTCAATCAAGAAAGGGTAATGCATTAATTGGCAGAAGAACTGTGTGTTTTTTTAGGCTATAAATATATATTATTTCTACCCAGTTAATGTAACGACCCGACCGGTCGTTTTACATTTTTGAACCCCGTTCCCATAAATAAGACTTCCCGCACTTGCTTTAGCTAATTTATGACTTGCGGGGACGGGTGGTTCGGAAGTTAGAAGAGTTTTGAGCAAGAATAAGTCTAGTTGCTTCTTTAAGTTTCTTTAAAAAGGCCAAGTTTGACTTCGGTCAACATTTTGGGGAAACGGACCCGGAATCATAATTTGACAATTTCTGAGGGTCCGTGAAAAAATATGGGACCTGGGTGTATGCCCGGAATCGAATTCCGAGGTCCCTAGCCCGAGTAATGAATTTTTATGTGAAATTGTTAAGTTAAAGTTTCAAAGGTTTAAATAAACTAAGAAATCATTGTTTTCCTAGGTATCGGGTTCGGATTTTGATTCCGAAACTTGGTACAAGTCCGAAATATCAATTAAGACTTACCCGTAAAATTTGGTGTCAATCCGAGTAGTTTAAGGGCGTTTTGACCCGTTGGAGGAGAATTTAAGAACTTGAAGTTCAATGATTTGATTCATTTGGTTTTGGGGTTGATTCCTCGATTTAGCGTTGTTTTGAGTGTTTCGAGGGTTCAAGTAGGTCCGCCTCGTGATTTCAGACTTGTCGGTATGTTCGGGCGGGGCATGGGAGCCCCGAGCGTCAAACGAGCGAGGCTCGAGTGAAGTTAGAATTTGGAAAATGACTGAAGCTTGCTGCTTCTGTCATAACCGCATCTGCGGTTCTTGGACCGCAGAAGCGGGACCGCAGATGCGGTCATTAGATCGCAGAAGCGGAGAAGGGGCAGGCCAGGGGAAACCGCAAAAGCGGCCCAGGGACCGCAGAAGCGGTTCCGCCTATGGGGCCCCAGACCGCAGAAGCGGTCGAGCCCCAAATCCCAAAAGCCGCATAAGCGGCCAAAATTCTGCAGAAGCGGAAATATTTCCGCACATGCGACAATAACTGGGGGCAAAAGGGTTCATTTAATACGAACTCAAACTCATTTCTCTCATTTTTCACTCTACACTTAGGCGATTTGGGTTCTTCCAAGAGAGGGTTTCCACATAACTTGGTAAGGTAAGTAATTTCCCTTCATCCTTAGCTTAAATACATGTATATTAGGTAGATTAAACACCAAAAATTTAGTAAAAATCAAGGATTTGAGCTAGACCTAGGGTTTTAATAAAACTAAGAATTTATCATAAAATTTGCCATGTAATGAACTAGAAATCATATATTTGTGATCCTTAGGTGATAGAGAACAACTTTCTTAAAAAATCTCGGAATCCGGGCACGTGGGCCCGGGGTCGGAATTTAGGAAACTTGTGTTAATGGTTAGAAAATTGCCTAAATAGTTAGAGTTCGACCTTGTAAGCCTTTATTTACTAGTTCTTACTTCGTTTGATTAGTTTGGGATTTTTCGGCTTCGAATTAAGGACTTGGGCTCGTTCTTGGACATTGGAAGTGCACTTTGGAGCGAGGTGAGTCTCCTTTCTAACCTTGTAAGAGGGAATTGTCCCCATAGGATTATAAATGAGTAATTGTTTTTAAATGCGGGGCTACGTACGTACTAGGTGACGAGAGTCCGTGCGTAGCTACTATAATGATAATTGTTCGGGTAGTTAGGACCCACGTCATGTCTAATTGGTTAATATTTCTTGTTTTAAATTGCCAATATGATCATTTATGATTTGCTAGAGACTTGAGGAAATGAAAAGTGAACTTATGAGTTTGTTGAGTCTTGGTAGGAATTCCTTGTATGTAATTGAGCCTTATGTGCTTTCCTGATATTTTCTTGATGATTATGGACCGGGCCGATCGCCTTGGTGAGAATAGATGCATCTATGGTTCGTGCCGCTCGACCCTCGGCAGTGCACAATTTATTTTCTGTTGGAGCAGGCCGTCGACCTCGCCATGATTGTGCATGACTTATATGCTTACGTTTAGATATGACATGATCACTTTTTTAATATGAAAAAAGGGAAAACTGGTAGTTTAATTATGTCAAGAACGTGAATATGACTCTTCTCTTAAACTTGTGTTATTGGAAATTCTTCATGCTGTATATCTCACTTTATTATTATATTATCTTGACCTTAGTAAGTATCAAGTCGACCTCTCGTCTCTACTTCTTCGAGATTAGACGGGATACTTACTGTGTACATGTGGTTTATGTACTCATACTACGCTTCTGTACTTAAATGTACAAGATTTGAGGCAGATGGATCTGGACATCATCCCGGTACGCATTAGTGAGCACGCTTGGGGACTTCTACGGTGAGCTACTTCTCTTTCATGCCGATCCGCAGCCGAAGAAGTCCTTTCTTATACTTTTTGTTTCTTTTTATCCTGATTCAGACAGTAGGATAGTGTATTATTCTTTTGTGTATATTCTACTAGTCGCCCGTAGCTTGTGACACCAGGTTCTGGCACACACAGTAGTAGACATTTATTTTGGGGTTGTATCGCTATTTTAGCACCTTTATTGGTCTTATCTTTAAATTCGAAAATCTAGTATAACTGTATTTGGCTAAAGTAAAATGAGAACTTAATCACATTCCGCATCGGCTGGCCTGACATAGTGTTAGGCGCCATCATGACCTATTATGGAAAATTGGTCGTGACAACATGGTATCAGAGCACTAGGTTCACGTAGGTCTCACAAGTTATGGGCAAACCTAATAGAGTCTTGTAGATCGGTACGGAGACGTCTGTATTTATCTTCGAGAGGCTATAGGGTGTTAGGAAAGATACTCTTTATTCATTTTCCATCGTGCAGTGGTCAGTGTATTAAATTTCCTCTTCTATTCTCTCACAGATGGTGAGGACTCGTACCGCCGACGTTCCGGACCTGGGAGGAGCTGCTCCCCCCATTGCTAGAGGCCGGGGGAGGACACCGGTCCGTGGTAAGGGACGAGGGCATCCCAGAGCTATTCCAGATGCACCACCAGCAGACCCTGCGAGGGATCCCATTATTGAGGAGCAGGGCGAGCCTACTCCGGTAGATTTCACGACTGCGCCGGGATTTCAGGAGGTCATGGGCAGTATGCTTCGGTTCATGGACACTATGACTCAGGCTGGTTTATTTCCAGCAGATCCAGCTACCTTGCAGGTAGGAGGGGGAGCACAGACCCCTACCGCACAGGCTCCAGGTCATGCAGCCGCAGTTTATCATACTCCGGGTGCACTACCCGCGGAGGGGGTTCAACCAGTTGCTGCAGCGGCACCCCAGCCACGGCCAGCTGTGGACGGCGATCCGCAGAAGTTGTTAGACAGATGGACCAGGTTGCACCCTCCAGTCTTCGGGGGCGAGCATCATGAGGATGCCCAGGATTTCATTGACAGGTGCAGGGATAGACTGCACAACATGAGGATATTGGAGTCGCATGGAGTCGACTTCACTACTTTTCAGCTGGAGGGCAGGGCCCGTAGATGGTGGCAGTCTTATTTACTTAGCAGGCCAGCAGGCGCTCCTCCCCTCACTTGGGGTCAGTTCACTCAGTTGTTCCTTGATCGGTACATTCCACCCTCTGAGAGGGAAGAGCTGCGTCATCAGTTTGAGTAT